TAACCATGAATACTAGAATGCTACCTGCACAAGATCTAATTAAGTATATGTGCAGTTTTGTAAACTGATAAAATTTGTTAATTCTAAACTCAAGTAGTATTTTATAAATCTGTTTTATAATCCATGTACACCACAAGTGACTGGCTTCTCATATAAGTTTCAAAACTAGGGATATAACAGAAATTTATTCTGCATGCTTGAAATAATACTCTAGCTATGTGACTTTGAACAATACTGGATGACATAAATATCAAAATGGTTTACACCTAGTAGGCTATACTTCATTAGTTCCAGGTTTACAGTTGTGATATCGTGAGATGTTATATTGTGACTTTATTTTAGGCATGTGTAAGGCGGTAATTAATTCTTCATGTTATTGTCATTAAGTTGGTAATGAGTCACAAAACAAATAATCAAAACATTTCAGAGGTGGGGGCGCCAAAAGTGTCTTTTACCCCAGGTCCTGAGAACCCTTGCTACACCACTGAGCGTTCAAAGGTTAAAGAGCATCGAAATAAATTAGCGTAGTGATTAATTAAAGTTGCAGATTAAAACAAATAAAATGATGTATTAGCCTTTTTTTGATATTTTAGTTTAAAGAATAAACTTTAGCTAGAAATACGAATGTACAATCTGCCTGCAAATAAAACAGACGCCAAATACTGCAGTCGAATCCACCAGAGGAAAAACAAATTAGATTATATTTGAAATTAACAAAATATTTATTTAATTTTCTTTACTTTTCGTAAGATATGTAAAGTAAAATGAGAAAGATATTAGTGTTATAAAAACTATTAACTATCTTTTTGCCTTTATTTTCTCACACATTTCGATAATGTCACAATGGGTTATCCATTGATTTGTATATTGTAGAGATCAGTGGGGATATCTGAGTGTACCTGTCACTGACGATAATTTCACCTATTTTCAGCGAACATGCTTGTGACTCTTTAGGATATTTCTGTTGTTGTTTTTTTTTCGGGTATTCGCACAAAACTACAAGAAATATATCAGCACCAGCCATTCAAAATTTTGAACTGATAGCCTAGAGGAAAGGCAGCTAGTCAATAGCACCCACCACTAAGTTCTTTCAAATAGTGGTATTTCGCTGCCACTTATTTTAATAATGATCATCGGATTTCCAGAATGTATTGATAAACTGTTGATGTGTTACATGCATTTAGTGGTTAACACTAAACCGTAAGAACAGTTTATTTACTTAATACCAGGTTGATTCTTATTTTGTTGATCTAATTAGATGTAATACTGTATACTAATTAGACTTCCGGATGTTTCTCACCTCAAATTTCCAGCAAAGAAACCTCATTAAAAATAACTTGATTCATATTCAACAACATATGTTTTGCTAGAAATACTGGTATCATAATTTTGCTTGTATTATAATGTTTAGAAATAACTAGATGTCCTGATACAACACCGTAATATTTTCTTGACCTTATTTGCAGATCTAAATATCACAGTAAACCCAGTTTTTAAATATTGCTACCGGAAAAATATTTAAATATATATATATATTACTGGAATGTAACTTTCATTCGAGTAATTATACGTTATCAGTAATATCTTCCTAGAAAAATTATAATTTTATTTGAATATTGTAAGTCATGGAATTTATATGTTTATGGTTTATGTATTTCATAACTGATTTTAGCTTTTGTTTGATAACGTCGCCGTAATCAAGTTAAAGAAAACAAATTGTAAATTAAATCCACCTGAACAGTTAAAATATTAATAGATAAATTATTCAGATATAATAACTCGGTATGACCTTTAACAATTTTTGAAAAATAAGTTATGAATTGCACATTTATTAGATTTGCTTCATTAATCAGATAAACTAACAAGCTGTTAACTTGGAATTCAATAAATTAAAAACAAAATAGGGGTTTCCCATACATACAGTTCAATGTTAAATATATACATATATAAAACCAGTAAGAAAAGAAACATTTGAACTGATAAGTAATACATTTTCTTTTATAAAAATTGCCAACAACATCCGAAAAGATACGCCTGATTTCACACCTTGTTTGCCTCGAGTTATTAATATTAGATTAAAACAGAATTC